GAGCAATCATGATCAGGTGTTTCATTTTCCTTCTCAGGAAGGAAAGTAGCAGGATTTAAATTTCCACAAACTTTAAGCTTAGTTACTGGTCCTTCTAACAATAGTGACTGATATTTAAGAAGCCTACTGTCTGTCATCCAAATATTAACTTTAGAATTCAAGATTCCACTCACATCATGAGAAGTCAGTACAGTAAGGTTTCGTCCATTAATTATTTTTAAAGCTTCAGGTGCTAATAAAGCCGTGGCTCCAATTACTCTTAGGCAGTGGGGCCACCCACGTGCAATTACATCTAATTCTTTGCTTAGATATGCAATAGGTTGCTGATGAGGCCCTCGGGGTTGTGTCAAAACTCCCAAGGCCATACCTTTTCTTTCAGTGACAAACAAGTTAAATTCTGACCCTGTGGGCAAACTCAAAGCCGGAGCTTGCAGGAGAGCAGTCTGAAGAACCTTAAAAGCCTTTTGAGTATCTGGAGACCAAACCAGTTTGTCGGTTTGGGCCTGCTGAGTTTCAGCTATAAGTTTATATAAAGGCCGGGCAAGTTCCCCATAGCCCGGAATCCAAATACGACAGTAGCCTGTGATTCCCAAAAATCCTCTCAATTGCCTTAAAGTCATAGGTAGGGGATGGTTTAGTATAGGTTTAATTCTCTCAGGACCTATGGCCCTAGTCCCTTCTGATATGATTAGGCCCAGATATCTAACAGATTGTTGACAAAGCTGAGCCTTTTCTCTTGATGCCTTGTAACCACAGCCTGCCAGAAAGTTTAAGAAATCTTCTGAGGCTCGTGAACAAGCTTCCTCTGTCTCAGCACAGAGCAAAATATCATCTACTATGAATTTCTTAATTTTGTTATTATGAATTTACATGTTCAACTCCATAACTTTGAGAAAAATCTGGAGTGGTCTTATTTTTCCTTACCTTCATCTCAGCCTGCATATAACTTTCTGCCCTTTCTACCACAGGGACAGATCTTTTCATTGGCCAGCTTTTTATTGGAGCAGGTTTTTATTTTCAGCCTATGTTCCAGGGGTGAAGAATCTGTCGGCTGTGTTTATGTGACATAATTAAGTGTAGGTTCCCAGGTGGAGGAATGGTAAAGAATCAGCATGCAATACAGGAGATGCAGGAGACTCGGGTTCAATCCCTGGGTTGGAAAGATCTCTTGGACAAGGAAATGGAAACCCACTCCAGTATTCTTGCCTGGAGAATCCCATGGACAGAGGAGCCTGGTGGGCTATTGTCCAAAGGATGCATAGCATCCCAAAGAGTTGGACACAACTGAGCGACTGAACACACACACTTTTTCCAGCCCTCGGAGCTCTTTGAGTTGACGTGAATTAACCAGTTATGCAACCTGCTTCTTTGGAATAATGCTCACCTTCCTTCCTTGCAGGCCTCAAAGTGAATCGTCTGGATATGTATGGAGAGAAGTACAAACCCTTCAAGGGCATAAAGTACATGACCAAAGCTGGAAAGTTTCAAGTTCGAACCTGAAGCGAGAATTTCGCAAAGCGGACCGTCATGAACACTTTTTCATTTCTTAACCTGTCTAGAAGTAAAACCCATCAGCCTGTCTCGTAGGTCCATGTCCACTCTGGACCCACCGGTTCCCGTTTTCCTTAGCCGTCCGTGCTGTGGAGTGAATCCAGGGAGACAGGGTCGCCGGGGCGGCTGGGGCAGGACCCACCCACCAGCATCTCCAACCCAGTTCTCAGAGCAGAGGCATGGGTCGCAGGGGGAGGTACCTGATGGTGTGTTGAACTGTTTGTAACTTTGTAATGGGGTTACCCCAGGAAAACACCAGCGTTTGTTACTTGTTTGGCTGTAATTTTCTTCAGCCAAGGGAAGACTTCTTTGTTTTTGTTTTTTAAGCTGGGGGAAAAAAGAATTAGAGCGCGCACTTGGAAGGAAACTCTCTGCCTGTAGGTTCCAGAACAACGGAACTACTACTCCTGACGGCTCTGGAGGATTTCAGGGTTTCCTTGGTCACAGGAGACAACCCTTCTTGGTTCCTGAATACCCTTAGGTTTATAAGTCTGGCTGTCTTATTCTCTCCAGGGCAGCTCATCCTAATTTCAAGGGAAGAATTTAAGGAGAAGTAAAGTGCTGGGGAAGTGGGGCCCTCAGACCATAGCAGGGGACCCCCCCCCAAGCTGCAGACCCTTGGACACCCCCTCACCCTGGTGGTATGTTAGCATAGCTGGTGCCGGGTGCCCCCAGTGAGCCGCTCGGTTCCACGTGTGTTTAACGTGCAGAAGCATCTTCTCTGTTTAAACCTTAATAAAGTTGAGTGTTGCCAGTAAAAAAAAAAAACGACGTTTGCTCCTTGTAAGAAAAGCTGTAACAAACCTAGACAGTGTATTTAAAAAGCAAAGGTCCATATAGACAAAGCTATGGTTTTTCCTGTAGTTGTGTATGGATATGAAAGTTGGACCATAAAGAAGACTAACTGCTGAAAAATTGATGCTTTTGAACTATAGTGCTGGAGAGGACTCTTGAGAGTCCTGTGGACTGCAGGATCGAACCAGTCAATCCTAAAGGGAACAAACCCTGAATATTCATTGAAAGGACTGATGCTGAAGCTGAAGCTGCAACATTTTGGTCACCTGATGCAAAGAGATGACTCACTGGAAAAGACCCTGATGCTGGGAAAGATTGACGGCAGGAGGAGAAGGGGGTGATGGAGGATGAGATGGTTGGATGGCATCACCAACTCAAAGGACATGAGTCTGAGCAAACTCTGGGAGATAGTGATGGAGAGGAAAGCCTCACATGCTGCAGTCCATGGGATCACAAAGAGTAGGCCATGACTTACCAACTGAACAACAATAATTTGCTTGATCTTGGCAAATGTAAAAAAGTTAAAAACTGAGTATATTTTTGATACTAATATTCACATTATTCCTTGATGTAAAAATTCTGATCTGCTTTTCTGGTAGCATGAAGGTAATGACAGCAACATCCACTGGACAGTCATGAGGTGCTTTGTATTGTTGTAAACTACATGTTAACATGTGTCACATACTCCTCACAATGAATATCCATGGTAGGGACTGTGCTATTTTATACATAAGAGAAATAAGACACTGGAAGATCAAAGAACATACTACATAAAGTTACTCTATTAGTTAGAATTGGAGGAGAGTTTTGAACCCATACAGTGCATGTCTGTGTTTGTAGCCACTATTCTATTCCACCTCCCCTTATAGTGAAAAATTCATTTTTCAGTGGTGACCTGTTCATTGCCTACAGCAGGAGTCCCCAATCTTTGGGAGCTAATGCCTCATGATCTGAGTTGGAGCTGATATAATAATAGAAATAAAATGCACAATAAATGTAACGCACTTGAATCATCCCAAGACCATCCCCTCCCCACCCTCAGTCCATGGAAAAACTGTTTTCTAAGAAACCCATCCCTGGTGCCAAAAAAGTTGGGGACCTCTGGTCTACAGCACCTGCCACTTCAGATTACTGAATTCTGAATCTATAGGAACTGACAAATAGTCTCTCCTTGACCAAACTCTAGTCAAGTTTCCCTTTTTCAACTAGGACAATTCATGGGCATGTCCTTAAGAGATCAATTTTAATAAGAACGCTGCTGATTCAGCTTATCTAGAATTCCCCCATTCTCCACGTGTGATTACCCTTGATATCCGATCAAATTTCTCATCCTCCACCATTTCCCAGTTCAATCACCATGGACTGCCTCCAGCAAGATTCCTATCAGGCTGGTTTGGCGAGAATCATCCCTTACCCTTGATGCTTCCTCCTCTGACCTCCACCTCCTCCTAGGCTATAAATCCCCATACTTCCTTGTTGGATTCAGAGTTCAGTCCAGTCTCTCTCCTCTATAGTAAATCTGCATTGCAGGAGTCCCTACACCCATTGCAGTAGTACTGAAAAAAGTTTGCCTTACCATCTTAACAAGGGTCATGAATATTTTTTTCTTTAATAGTTATTTTGCAATTCTATGTATTGAAGTTGCTAGCAACATAAAACAATTCTTGTCTATGGGCATGTAAATGAGTTCCATCCAGTGGAGAGATAACACTCCCCTACAGTGGGAAAATGTGTTTTGCCTCCCTTGGCATGTTCATCTCCATATTCCTGATCTATAATAGTGTCTGCTCCTTTGAGCTGGCTGTAACACATTACTAGCTTCTTCACTGATGAGTTAAATAAAATCTTTAAAAAGTGTTCATTTTCATATCTGCATGAAAGACATGATTTTACTATTTTAACACTCTGAATGAGTGTGCTGGAAGCACCTGCAAACTGAATAAACATTACCTTGATAAAGAGGACAAACTTTGGTGGCAAACAGCACAGTTCAGATGCCTGCTCTGCTACCCACTAGACACTTAGCTCCTCAGAAACTATTTGACCCCTCTGTGCTTTCACCTTTGTGTGCAAAATGGGGGTAATGCTATCTCTTTAACAGATTTGATGCAAAGTTCGTAATAACAATGTATAAAAATGCTCAGTATGGTGACTGGAACAGAGAACCCACTAAGGCAGTACTCGGCAGGAGTTCTCTAGGTGGCTGTCAAGGTCAGGAATGCCTCCTAAAGTAGAGCTTCTCAAATTGCAACATGGCCATGAATCACCAGGGAAATTTACTAAAATGCAAGATCTGGTTCAGCAGTTCTGGAAAGGGTCCTAATAGTCTGCATTTCTAACCAGCTCCCGGGTGATGCCAACTTGCTAGACTGAGGATCACACTTTGAGTGATAAAGTTTTATAAGCCTCCTGGATCAAGTTCATCTGCCCTGATAATTTTTTCATAATAGTCTAGAGTAAGACTTACAAGAAATGTAGGCCTGGACTTCCTTGATGGTCCAGTGGTTAAGAATCCACTTGCCAATGCAGGGGACATGGATCCCTGGTCCAGAAAGGTTCCACATGTTGTGGGGCACCTAAGCCTGTGCACCATAATTACTGAAGCTGCGCTCTAGTGCTCGTACATTGCAATAAGAGAAGCCCCCGTTCTCTGCAACTAGAGAAAGCCTATGAACAGCAACAAAGATCCAGTGCAGCCAAAAATTTAAAAATAATAAATAAATATTTTTAAAAAGAAAGAAGTGTTGGGCCTGACTTATGGCCAGAAGCACAAACGGAAAAACAATGAAACAACTGGAAAAACCACAAGAGTAAAATGACTATGCTACTGTGTCTCTAAATAAGAGGTTTATTCTTCCTTTTCCTTTTTCATCTGAAGAGCTTGACCAAGGAAATACGTGTAAAAGGAGATGTATGATATTGAGAACATCTAACATAATCACAATCCTGAGACAGACCCAGGGTGCATCCTCCTGGGAGCCCTGCTAGACAGCACACAGGTGGCCTCCAAAAATCCCTAACACCTCTACTCAGGCTTAATCAGCCCAGGAAACACAGCCCTCCAATGGGCATTATTCAAGAAAATTGGATGATGTTTGGAGGATGCACTCTCTTCTTTAAAAAAGGCCAACAGACATGTGTTGGAAATGTCTCTAAAATGTTTGCAAAAATCCATGTTTAAATGTCCATATCTGTTATGCACCCCCAATCAAGAAATTCTCTGTCCCCAAATATTTCTCTGTCAACTAATGCTAGACTAAGTAACTTCAGTTGTATCTGACTCTTTGTGACCTATGGACTGTAGCCCATCAGGCTCCTCTGTCCATGTGATTCTCTGGGCAAGAATCCTGGAGTGGGTTGCCATTTCCTACTCCAGGGTATCTTCCCAACCCTGGGATTGAACCCCTACCTCTTAAACCTTCTGCTCTGTCAACTAAATATCTCTTCAAAAAAAAGTTGGAAAAGTGAGTTTTGAGACAAGACCTTTTTTGAGAAAATAACTCATTCACATTCCATACTGAGTCTCTGATACTGTCTGTATAGTAGTGGATAGCATTTGAGAATTTAAAAATCCTTAAATATTAGAAACATAATCACCATTATGAAATAAGTTTAGTCATCAAAGAGTGAAAATCTTATAACCTCTAAGTCTATAGTTCATGTTTAGATATTCATATTTCATGCTCATTTTCAGGAAAGCATTAGTGAAACCAAGCAGGACTCTGTGGAGCCCTTCTGTGTACAAAAGCCCTTCCTTGCCCCACCTCCCCATTTCTGGTTTGTAGAAAAAGGCTTTTGTCTCCTAAGCCTTCCTGAGTTCCAAAGATCAGGCTAAATCAGTTACTAATTAGGGAGGTGAAGGAAAATAGAGACAAAGGACAAGCAGTTTAACAAGAAAAGTCATGACACGAGTTCACTGATAAAGCAGAGTCCTGATTCCTCCTAAAAGCATATGCATAACAGTCTGACACAACGTCGTGTGGTTTTTCAGGAAACAAAACCCCTCCCAAACCCAGGTGGAGGATGCTGACTACATGTTGACACAAGCATGTAGACTCCAGACTGGCTAGAGCCAGAAAGTTGATGACTAAGATTCCAGAAACATCACCTGTTACTTCACCATCAACCAATCAGAAGTCATGCATCCTGCAGCCCACCCCCCAAACATTGCCTTGTAAAAACCCTTCCCTGAAAGCCATCAGAGAGTTTGGGTCTTCTGACCATTAGCTGCCCATATTTC